GTCGTCGGCCGAAGATAATCACTTTCCTCTAAGTCTTCAGACGACAAAATGGACGCGAATCTGATCTCATATTTGTCGTTGTCTTTGAAAACGCGACAATTGTATGAATCCATGTTCTGTTGAGAAGGAAACCGAATTAAAGACTAAATTCTGGTAACAATTGAAACAAACAATTGTTTGCATAAAGTTTTTGACGATTTCTGAATCTTCTTTCGTGCAGTTCTTCGAGAAATAAGTCGTCGTTCCCTTTGAGGAGAGAAAACAGGGATTAAAGTGAAACAAAAAGAAGACAATCGATGGTTAAATAGACTTCAGGAGCGAAAGCGAGACTCAATTCATTTTTCTCGAGAGAAAACATTCTTTGCTTAACATTAGTCCAAATAAACTCCAATTCCTTCTGATTGTTGCGAAAAGCGGTGGAATTGCGGACAAAAGCGTCCATTTTATTGGCGGACAAATCGGGAATGAATTTCGAGTCTCCGAAAGAGCGATAATTTCCCATATTTGACAAAAACGCCGACAAATACACTAATAATGCCTTTCATTGCGAGAAAAGAGTTTAAATGAAGAGTTGGTGTAAAAGTTGACAGAAATACCCGCCACTCGTTGTCATCAAATTGAGCCACACTTTGGGCCAAAGCCTTCAACTCTTCGACCGATTGTTCGGCAAATAAACGCCGAAAGAGAGTGAATATAAGCGGAGATTCGGGAGACGTCTTCGGGAAAAATACAATTAACAAAAGAGACAATGGATTGAGAGTTTGGGTCAACAGACCTGAAACAAGCAGACAATGGATCCAAACCAACAGCTCTTCGACAAGTAATGCGCGTAAAGTCTCTCTTCGTCTGTGAGACCATTGAAGGCGATCTCAGCGTCCAATTGAACCACTTTTGAAGACATTATAAAGATATTATAAATTTTACATAAGGGGTGTTTGTGATGATAAAAGTTTGCACCACTTCTCATACCCGGCGTGTCATTAGTGAAGACATACTCCGAAGACATCACTGTCTTTGATGGTGTGTTTGGAGCACTTGTTTGGTGAGAAGAAGTGATAATTAATGGTTTGTTTGAGTAGTTTGTGAGTAGTTTTGGTGTATTTCATGAAATGTGTGACACTTTGATTGCAAATAACAACTCATTTCTCACATTTCATTTTCATTACTGTTTGTGAGCCAATCACAGCCTCACAACGTATTCAGCAGTGAATGTATTGCCATATATGGTATACAAGTCATCCAATGCCACAACCAATGCATTCAAAGTCCAATTTCTGCCTAAATATGTGACAAATCTATCCAAATATGGCATTATTGAAGAGATTCCGAGTTTCTATTCATAACGTGTGAAACTTTGGGCCAAACAATAGACAGCAAATGATCGCAATTCACGACAAAGTTTTTTTTAAAACTATTAAATGTGAGACACAGATAGACAGACAGTCGGAAATCATTAAATCTTAAAATGTTTAAAACAATACCAAAACTAATTGAAACTCGAAATGCAATAATACATGAATAAATACACAGACACTAATTATGCCCATGAACATTTATCATGATAGCAAATACTGATTTTAATGCTTGGCTAATTTAATAAAAATTAATGTAACATTTAATTAATAAATAACATATGATATAGAATGCATTAAATGGTTTATTGATTTAAAATAATACAATTCTATGAGTTATTTGAATAAATGAATTAAATCTAAATAAAATATGTAATTCTCTTAACACCGGATTGAGTGCCGAAAGCCATTTGGGAATCGATTGTGATTTGCAATCCGTTACTAAACGCGAGGCTTATATTGAGATCGCATTTCAATCGATCGATCG